TTCTGGGGGGGAAAAGGGTGTGGGGGATGCTGGAAGAGACTGCACAAAAATTGTGCACCTATGAATGAGAACAGGGGGGGCAGTAAGGGAGGAGGGTGGGAGGGGAACCGGGTGGAGGGGAGCTATAGGGGGAAAAAAGAGGAACAACTGTGATAATCGGAACAATAAAGATTTAATTTAAAAAAAAAAGAAAAAAAATAAAGTCCTACAATTGGCTCCTCTCTGAGGGGGCGTGGCTAGGCCCTGGGGGCGTGGTTGGACTCTAGGGCGGTAAGATCCAGCTTAAAACCTGCCTGAGGCTCCCTGGCCCACGCTGTGGTGGCTGTTACCTGTGGAGGCATGGAGGAGCGCGCTTGCCTCTGCGGCCTGGGCTCTTCGCCGGGATGTCGGTGTCGTCAGAAGAGCCAGCGCCCAGCTGAGACAGCAGTGGCCAAGGGCAAGCGGTGTCATCACAAGCGCCAGCGCCCAGGTGAGAAGGCAGCGGCCCACGGCAAGCCGGCCCCGGCAGAAAAGCACGTGGAGGGGGACGCGGCAAACTGCAGCGGGAAGGCCAGGAGGGTTGGGGGGCAGGAAGGGAGGGTAAGAGGACAACCGAAGGACTTGTATGCATGCATATAAGCATAACCAATGGACGTAAGATACTGAGGGGGAGATCTTCGCCTCGCTCCCCGGCACCGACCTGCCCAGCCTGGCCCAGGCCTGCACCAAATTCCACCACATCCTGCACATCGACAGCATCTGGAGACGGCGCTGCCGCGAGGAGTTTGGCGTTCGTGAAAACTTGCAGAACCTGGAGACCATAGGTATGTCTTATCGAGAAGTCTATGCGAAGCTGTTCCCATACAGACACATTTTGGGGTTGTGGCAGCTAGATACTGAGCACTATAGAACCCTAGTGAATGTCGTGGTGGATGGCTTATGCATTACTGGTTGGACATACAGGCCTTCCCTTAACACCCATGTGAGTGGCCCCATACATTTCAAGCCCTCGTTCAGAATTCGCCTGAGGAAGAGGAAATCAGCCAAGGTGGAGTGCATGGAAGGCCTCGGCAGCAGGCCCCACCACCGCCACATGCAGATTCGGAAGGACAGGTTCACGACCCAGTGCAAGAGCACATACCACGGAAGGGATTTACCAAGGCGGCTTAGGGAAGAACGGGGGCGGGTGCTGGAGGACAGACAGCGGTACAACTGGCTGACCTACCGCCGCCTCTACCTCCCGCCGAGCCACCCGGACGACCTCATCAGGCCAGGCCTCTTCCAATACTACTACGATGCCTTCCACCTAAAGATCTCCATGCTCAGCTTCCATGGGAAGTATGCCAGGGTCACCAAGATCACGGGCGTCTCCAAGAAGACGTTAGAGATCCACCTCATGCGCCGCATCCAGCTGCGAGATGGCGAGATCTTCGGCAACTTCACCGAGCTCTCCCGTGTGGTCCAGGAGATTGACGAGCAGGTGATCCGGGAGCAGCAGCAGCAGCAGCAAGAAGACGGGACTGAGGAAAGCGAGGGCCATGGCTGGCAGAGCCCTGCCCAGCCCAGCGCCGGGGAGTCCGGGGCTGCAGCTTCGGAGGAGCAGCCTGTTCCGTTTGTTCTGCCTATGGGCGTGCGCTCAATAGACCACAACTACCCCGAAACCTGCAGGATGTGTTTCTATGGCGTGGACACTGTTACCTTACCTGGCTTCACCGACCCCAGGCGCTTCCCTGGAGTCTTCATCCTGTTCGATGAGAACCACTTCGGGTTCATCTGGCTGGAGTTGAAATATTTCTTCCTGTACAGCAGAGTCCAGAACACCTTCCAGAATGTGGAGGCACCATCCCTGCAGGCTTTCCTGGATATGCTCAAGAACATTCAGTGCATCCCCTAACCCAGGGGTGGGCAAACTTTTTGACTCGAGGGCCACAATGGGTTCTTAAACTGGACCGGAGGGCCGGAACAAAAGCATGGATGGAGTGTTTGTGTGAACTAATATAAATTCAAAGTAAACATCATTTCATAAAAGGGTACGGTCTTTTTTTTTTTAGTTTTATTCATTTCAAACGGGCCGGATCCGGCCCGCGGGCCGTAGTTTTCCTACCTTGGTTGCTGGCAGTTTGGCTCAGTGGGTAGAGCATCGACCTGCGGCCTGAAGGGTCCCAGGTTTGATTCCAGTCAGGGGCATGTACCTTGGTTGCTGGCACATCCCCAGTGGGGGGTGTGCAGGAGGCAGCTGATCGATGTTTCTCTCTCATTGATGTTTCTAACTCTCTATTTCTCTCCCTTCCTCTCTGTAAAAAATCAATAAAAATATATTTACAAACAAACAAATAAAACCCAGGACCCTTCACTCTACAGGCTGACACTTTATCCACTGAGCAAAACGGGCTAGGGCATTATTCTCAATGTATTTAAAGAAGAAACAGTTCCTGGACACTGATCTTTAAAACCAGGTTTAAAGTTTGATTTGAGTCTCCCAACACAGTTAAACATTTGTAAAGTAATATCCACATGCATTTTATAAAAGTAACAAAATTCCGTTATCATTTGAAAAGGCACTTTTATATAAATCACCTAACATTTACATGAATCACCACAAACATTTACATAAATCACCACAAAAATATTTATACTCAAGTAGCATCTACATAATAGCAGGTTTAAAAAATGCTCAATAGTACAGCCCTGCTTGCAACACTAACATGTCATCTGGTCTGAGCAGCCAGTGGCACAGGTATCCTGAGTGTATGGAGCGGCTTCAGGGTCAAGCCTCATGCTTACTTGTGGCAGGGCCACAACAAGTCCCAGCCTGGAGGGCAGAGCTCTCCTACCACAATTCAGCCTGATCTTGTAGCCCTCCCTCATTCCCTCCTAAGTAGCTAATGTGCTGTGGGAGGTGCAGCAAGTGTTGTCAAACAAGAACATTTGTATACATGTTAATCTACTCCTATTTTAATCAGACTATAAAATAAAGCATAAGCTTGCAGGCTGGGTGTATTGTGTCCTCAACCAGGCATGGGAGATCCACTAAGCCCCAGCTGTATTCTCTTGTCTGTCTTTTCTTCAATCCTTCACTGCCCTTCCTCAGGTTTACCCTTGGCCATGCTGGTGAGGCACACCTGAAGTCTGCAAGTTTTTTTTTTCTGAAAAACACCAGGGATGAATCCAATGGCCATGCTGGTGAGGCACACCTGAAGTCTGCAAGTTTTTTTTTTTCTGAAAAACACCAGGGATGAATCCAATCTTTACTCAATAACCCCACTCCTACCCATCACTCCCCACCTCCCAACACCCACCCCTACCCCCGGGCTGACTGCTACAGCTGTTTGGGTGAAGCAGGATCAGGGAGGCTCCATGCAGAAGCTATGTCCCAGTGGGTGGCTTGTGCTCAGCTCTCTTCCCTGACCTCAGGAGTAGAGCATGAGACTGAGGGGGGAAGAATGCTGGGGGCTTCTGCTGGAGGGAAAAAGAAGGAAACACCCATTTATTGAGCTCTTCCTCTAAGCCAGGCCCAGTGCCAAGCCCTCAACATGCACCATCTCCTGGGATCTGACAAGCATCCACTGAGCTGGGTGAGCACCATGATCCTCATTTTGCAGGGGAACTGAGCTTCTTGCCTACGGTCCCCCTACCCCAAAGCACCAGCCCTGAAACCTCAGCTTGGAGTCTTCATTTGGGTGCCCTTTGATTAGGGTCACTGTGAAGGGTTAATTTTATGTGTCAACTTGACAGCACTAAGGGTTGCCCAGGTAGCTGGTAAAACAATACTGGGTGTGAATGGATGGGGCTAGCTTTTGATTCAGTCGATGAGTAAGGAGATCTTACAGTGCTTGGGGGCTCCCTCCAAATTCTGGGGGAACAAGAGGAATAGAAAGAGGAAAGAAGAAAGAATTGTCTTCTTTGGCTGAGATGTCCATCTTACACACACACACTCGCACACGTCTTGGATTTCAGAGAGGAAGAGACAGGGATAATAAAAACATCAGTGATGAGAGAGAATCACTGTTCAGATGCCTCTTGCAACACAGCATGTGCCTTGACAGAGAACAGAACCGTCATCTCCTGGTTCATAGTTGAAGCTCAAGCACTGAGCCTTGCCAGCCAGGTGTGCGATGGCTATATATACCTGCCCGTGAATATTGGAGTTCCTGGTTCTCAGCGCTTCAAACTCCTGGATTTCCCCTGCTGCCCTTTATTCTCAGGCCTTTGGCTTCTGTGTGGGGGTTACTCCATGGGCTCCCTGGTCCTCAGACCTCCAGATTTAGACTGAGTTATACCATTGGCTTTACTGGTTCTCCAATTTGTAAAGCACAGATAATATGAGCCTAGTCCTATAAATGTCTTACATACGTCCAAGTAGACCCTATTGATTAGTCCGGAGAACGCTGCCTAATACAGGGATCTAGCACAGGCAGTACCTCACCCCCGCCCCGTCCCGCGCTGTCCCATTTCCTGCGCTGACCCCCCGCTGTCCCCCGGCCCAAGGCCCGGAACT